CCTTGTCATGCGCGGTGGTACAAAAGAGGGGCTATCCGGGAACAGCCCCTCGACCACCGCGCTAAGGACCGCCGGCTCCATCGTTTCCGTGGGGGGCGCCACCTTCAGCTTCGCCCGCACCATGCGGTGCGGGCGCCCCCACGGGTCAGCATCTAGGGTCGCCAAGAACTCCGCATAGGCAGAGTCCTTGGCGGCCTTGATAGCGCTGGAGAACGCCTTCTTCGCCGAGCTCAGCTCGGCGTGAAGGCGTTCCAGCTCCTCCTCTGTTCGGTTCCGCCGTCTGCGGCACCGGATGAATGCCCGTCGAGCGGCGTTACTGGTGGAGCGCAGGGCGGCTAGGTCCTGCGTCCACCAGTACACGCCTTCCCGGGGCGCGAAACCACGTCGCGCCCTGGGCATTCCGGCGTCGCAAACGGCGGTCAAATCACGGCGGAATCTCGCCGCCCTCACGTCAACCCCCACCGTTTGGGGGGGTTCCTCCGCCCAAGCCCGGACGATGGCGGCTTCTTCCGCCAGGTCCGGGTCGAGGCGTGAGAGCTGCCACTTTGGGAAGCCCTCAGCGCCTCGCCGTCCTGCCGCCGCCGTCCGGGCCTGTGGCCCCTGGGGCGTGGTGGAGACCCTGAACCGGATGTACAGATGATCGGACAGGGTCTCCACCTCCTCAAGGACACGCCAACACGATATGCGTGCACCGATGCCGGGGGTCGCGAACGTGATGTCCACGACTGATCCCCCTTGTCGGCGCACGCACGTGTTGGCGTTGCCTTGGTTCTCCGGAACTAGGCCGATCATGACGGCCCAGTCCCGGAGAAGCGCCCCTTTCAGGTCAGTGATGGAGGACCCCCACGCTGCGCACTTGGCGTTGAGGTCCCCCATCACGATGACCTGGGCCGGTGATGCTCTCTGCACCACCGGCTCAAGGCCATCCAGGAACCTCTCGAACTGGCGGAGGTTCCTGTTTGGGGAGAAGTAGACTCCAATGAGTACTACTTCTCCCCAGTTCACCGCCACGTAGCCCGCTCCTTGCTCCCTGAGGGAGACGGGTTGCGGGCTCGATGGCGGCACCACTATTGCGACTGAACCCTCTGTGTCCCCGGACCAACTGGGTTGGGGGGGGACAAAGTAGGGTTCAGCCACGACCGCAACATCAATTCTCCACTCTGCCAGGCACTGCATCAGCAGGTCCTGTGCGCGGGCAGAGTGGTTGGTGTTCGTCTGGAGTAGGTCGAAATGCAGGTGTCTTGGCATTAAGACACCTGCATTTCTTCCTCCTCAGCCACGCGGCTGCCGTGCGGTTGGGGCTGAGTGCGAGGCACTCTGCTCCACGACGGGGCTTTGCCCTTCACCAACGGGGGTGTGCACTTGGCACCCCCCATCACATGTGAATGTGGGCGCCCCGTCGTTGCACACACGGTGCATTTGCAGGGGGCCTCGCACTCTGCCGACTTGTGCCCTTCACCGCCGCAGCGGAAGCAG